TTGTTGAACCTCATCAGGTTCCTCTCTGCCCAAATTTCCAGCCTGTCCAGGTCACGCTGGATGGCAGCACAGCCTTCTGTGGGAAGGGGGAAGAGAAGCTGAGCACAGGGCTGGCAGCACGGCCTCTGCTCCAGGACGGCACAGCGGACACGCGCCCACATCCAGACGCTCCCCTGCCCCGCCGTCCCGCTGCTGGAGGCAGCAGAAGTTGGCACATTTAATGTTTGGCTCCCTGGACCCAAGGCTATTCCTGATATCGATTTCTGGCAGCTGGCTCCAGCTGTGCCAGACCTCCCAAACTTCTCTATAAAAATCTCTGCTTGAATGAGCTACCATGCAGAGCGTTGTCCTCGCCGCCCTCCAGCCTGCAAACAGCCTGTCCTCCAGCCCGAGGTCTTCCCAGCCGGCTCAGTCCATGGAGTTGTGCGAGATGCCCTCCCGCCACGACATGTGAGCCAGCGGCTTTGCTCCTCGTCACTCCTAGGACACCAAAAGGCAACACTCTCCTATGAGCTGTTGGCTCCCCACAGGTCTCAAGGTAGCTACAAAAGGAAAATAACACTTTGGGTTTATGACCTTTTTGACTCCTCTGTGATGCACGTATCCCTGCTTCCTTCCAGCCACAACTTTTTCTGTTCCTCTCTGTTCTGCTCTGCAGATCTCTCGCCTCCAGCCCTCCTACGAGTCCTGCACTCCTTCCCGACAAAACTTCACTGAGCGAAAAAGGAAACGCAACGCTGCCTGACACACAGGAGCCGTCGTCGCTCTGCGGGTGCCAGCAACGCTCACAAGCCCTTACGGCTGTACCAGCCACAATTTTTCCAGTGAAAGTTTTCCAGCAGAGGACTCTTGATTGAGAGTTTCGCAGGCACAGATCGATGTCAGAAACGTGTTATTGAAAACATAATTATGAGCAACAACCGAAGCATTTCAGTTTGATATCAAAGATCCCCTTTATGCTCTTACAGCAGCTCAACCAAAATCCGTGTCGGACAGTATCCGTGGGGGAAGCGTTTTGCTGGGGAATTATTTTAGATACTATAAAGATCAAGATGAAACATTTTCGTATAATGGAAATGGAAAGTTTTGACACAGCCAAACGAGTATTCTAAATAACTCCCGGAAACTTCGAGTTTTGGGGTTTTTTTAATTTTCTTTTCTTTCAGCCTGAAGTGAAATGCTGAACTCTCAGAGCTGTTCACAGGACAGAAACCCTGCTTTGGACAGTTCTCATCAGCTGCCGCTTTCTGCAATCCTGACCCTTAAAAAACAAACAAAAAAAAAAATCCAAGAAAACCTCTATTGGGAAGTTAACCAAAAAGAAGGATTTTTGGCTGCTCGCGGAGGCTTACCAGGAAACCTGATCTATTTTCCCCTCAGTCCTGCTTGCCCATGGAACACTGTCTCGGACAGAAAGGGCTTGGACCAAACAAGGAGCGAGAGGCTCTTTCCATCCCAGCAAGTCCTTGAGGGGACACAAATCCTTCCGGGCTGCTCATGCCTTGTTTCTAACCAGAGCTGGATCTCGACTTGCAACTCTTTTCAGTGCCACTGGTATAAAAATACTCCTGTGCTCCTACTCAGAAGTTTCAAAATCCTCACTTTTTCCACCGGAGTAGAAGCCATCCACTTCCCCTCCACACAACCATTCAAATTTATTTTTAAATCCTCTTTCACTGTGTTTGAGCCGGAGCCCTCTCCCTCCCCGACGAACCGATCGTGCTGTTCCCTCGGCAGCTCTCCTCCCCACCAAGGGAACGGCAGCCTGCTTGGGGGATTTATTATGTTTTCAAAACTCCATCATTTCGTCATGCCCTTCATTACCCTACACCAACCTCACTTTCCCATCGACCTGATCCAATTAAAGCACCAAAATGGACTGCGCCAGCGGAGCGAGAGGGCTCTTTATGTACCCGCTCTGCTCGGTGCCACCGCCACCTCCCGCCTCCAGACACTGCGTCCAGCCACGGAGACTGCTGCCCTTTTCCGCGGGGAACACGGCAGAGCTCAAGCGAGCCGCTCCGGTCGCCGCAGCTCTGCCAGCGCCCTGCACCCAGGCCACCCGTAGGCTCTCCTACTCTAGAGTTACTACGGGATCATCTCTACCTTTCTGCTACTCCAAGGTCTCGGCAGGGAGAGATGAATTCCTCTGCAGTCCCTGAAGTGTGATAACATGAAACAAATACACAGCGGTTGCCACTCTGATGGGTCCTTTCCTGTCTCTTCTGCTGTGGCCAGCAGGCTGGTTCCCAGCCTAGAAGCTTCTCCCATGACACCCCAACACCTCTCTGCTCCCTTCTGCTCCCATCACGTCTGTCTTACTGGGATAACCGTAAGTCCTCCCTTCTCCGTTCACAAACACCGATCTTTCCCTTCATTCAGTTCATCACTCCCCCTCCAGCATCCTTCACTGCCTCCGAAATCCCCCATCTTCCCAAGATCAGTGTGCACTCACAAAGATACCCCCCAAGGACACGATGTCTCCAACCCTCAGTCTGATTTAGGGAGATATCCTGGGCTGTGTTCACCTGGGATTATTGCCACCAAAATCGTCATTTCTCATCTAAAGGCAGGAAGGACAGCGATGGTCTTTGAGCCAGGTTTTCTACACAGCAGAGATCTGGGACCCTCACTCCAAAATCCTGGTATCAAACCCACAGGTCAGGGTGAATCCAAAGCGCTGCATTTAGAATGACGTCTGGTCTTCACGTGAAGTCTTTGGGACGGAGACTCCTCCACCCTCCCGAGTAAATTCTCCCAGTGATTCAGCTACCTTTACTCTACAAATTACACCTCGTTTCCAGTCTTGATTGGCCAGTTCCCTGCTTATACCCGCTGGATGTTATTAATTATGCCTGTGTTGACCTTATTAACATTCAACCCCAGCTCTTCCGTGTATCCAGGCCTACAGAAAGTGCAGGAAGCTCACGCAGCTGCTAAAGAGCGCAGGAAATGGGGGAGGAAAATTAAACCAATGACTTGTAAAAACTTCTCAAAAGAAAGGAGAAAACACCTTCTAAAAGTTAAATTCATTATTTAGAGTAAAAAAAATTGTACGTGACCCTGGCCCTGCCAAACAGAGCAGTTCCACCCCAAGCCCCCGGCTCGGGGCGGTGCAAGCGGTGCGGCTGCCGGAGCCTTGCCCGAGATGCCGCGTGCGGTGGCCAAACGCTTCCCAGAACGTTCACCTCAGCTCCCCAGCGCTCCTGTCTTCCTGGCCACTTTGAGAAGCTTCAGTCAAAAAATTGGTTGGCTCCTGGCAGAGATGGGGCAGAGCAGTCTTGTTTTTAAACCAAGAACAGGAGACTGAGGAAATACTTTCTTCTCTACCTCCACACCAAAATAACTTTTGCAACCTTTAAAAGTAGCTACTATGCAAAAAAAAACCAAAAATATTTTTCTTTTCTGGCTGAAAAGAGGCACCAGGAGAGAAAACAGCTCTGCATTTGTGTTTACCTGGCTCAGTAATTCTCCTGTTCTACACACGCAAACGAGTTGTTCAGCATTTCCCACCCACGTGCTACCGCCAGACGTACGGTTTGCCTCTCACACGCAAGCAGTCGGGTGCAAAACGCCAACCTTCAGCGCAAGGCGGTGCGATTTGGGGTGAGATTTGCCAAGCAACTTCCCAGTACAAGCCCAGACGGCTGGCGTTCACCCGCAGGCGCTACCGACGATGCCACGGGAAGAAAGGAGCGTCCCAAACCCCGACCGGCGCCTCTGGAAACGTCCTTCCTCGCAGGAGGCCGCGTGTGTGCGGTGTCGGGGAATCTGCTGGCGCGCAGGGCTGGCGCCGATGGCGCACCGCCACGCTGGCTCAAGCTCCGAGCGCTGCAGGGAATCCCGACGGTGCCGTGGGTTTCCCGGGAGGTCTGCGGGGCGGAGGGCTGGGGGGCCACGAGCAAACCGCGCAATGACAGAACGCACAGCGCTCACCTAAGCAGATCCCACTGCCTCTGTGGATTTTGGAGAAGTCGCAGTAGAGTCCCTTGTGATGATCGCAGGGTTTCTGCGGGGAACAGAGCTCGCCAAGCTGCCGGGCACACACCTTGCAGCAGCCGCAGGCATCCAAGACGTGGCTGGTGCCAGCGGGGCACTGCAGAGGCTGGGAGGGACACTGGCATGGATACGTGCAGGCCTGCGGGTCGACCTGGAGGGCGGAGAAGCCACGGAGAGAATGAGTCTCCCGCAAGGCAGCCAGGCAGAGGGATGAAAAACACGATTCCGCTTCGAGCAGAGGCACCCCAGAGAGAGGAGGGAGGACCCCTTTGCCCCCCAGCACAGAGCCCGGCTGCAGAGGACGTGCGTGCAGTCATGAGGCAAAACTTTTTCTCATCTCTAACTCATCTGGAGCTCAAGGGAAAAACAGACGCAGGGCCAACACAAACAGGACAAGCAGTAGCTTGGAGCCCCGCGCGCAGCTCAGCCCCCCGCTTCCCTGGAAGCAATAAAACAGTAATTATTAACAGTAAGCAACTCCCAGCGCTTGCGTAGGACTGCTCAGGAGAAAACATCACAGCACGCAGCAGCAGCCCCAGTCCGAAGATGGAAAAGGCGTGGGCATAGCGAAAGGGCTTGCCCATAGTCACCCAGCGCTCAACACTGACCCCAAGGCTCCCGAGTCCCATTTCGTCCCCTGATCTCACACTTTCTTCGTTATTCTCACAGATGTGTTCCCTCCTCTGCCCTTTCCAGGGAGCGCAGCATAACCAACCTTCCTCGCTGCCCCGCTTGGCAGCATCTCGGTGCTGGCCACCTCCTGAAACCCACCCTTGGCTTTCAGGCCACCTCAGATGCTAAGCAGAGATCAGGCTATGTCTGAAGGAGGGTGACCTTCTCCGGACAACCCAGGACGCCTCAAACACTCCAGCAACTCAGTCCGTGGCATCCTCGTTCCGAACCCGCTTGGAGCAGACACAGCAGCCTCAGCTCTGGATATGCCCAGACTTGGGCGAGATGTAAAACCACGACTGCGAAAGGTGCAGAGCACGTGGTCCGGGAAGATCCCATTGCATCTCCTCGGAAACGTCGGCGTGCCAACTCTAGCCCGGGCTTCTGTTCAGCTTCTGCCCACTAAAATTCTCCAGGTAGTTCAGAGGGATGCAACAACTCCAATCTGCAGCGCTCGGATGCTGCGCGCTGCTGGCCCCGGGTGACACAACCCTTGCACACAGATGGAGCTGGCAGAACGCTTGGGGATCCCGCACGGCTGTGAGCTGGGGCGAAGAGGAAAGCACCCGACAGCGAGACCCCCCCGACACCGCAGCCCCCGTGCAGCTCCGCAGCCAGACCCGGCCACGGCCACCCCGGAGAGGGGCTGTGGCACCTGGAAGGAGCCTGGGGGCAGGTGGGATGGGGGAAAACCTGGAACAGAGGCCAAAAAAATCTCTTGCTGCAGCTCTGCTTGCACTTGTTATATCCCATCCAGCCCTTGCTTGTGAAACAGCTTCTTTGGGTGTTGTGTTGGTCACCAGTAACAGCAGTAAAACTTTACCAGCTGTTTCGACTGCTGCTCAGAGCAGCTGCTCTGAGTTTAGCTGACACGGGGTGAGGAGATGCCAGCTGCTTTGTGCTCCTGTAACAATCAGCACAGTACGGTGTAGGACAGGGAGCAGCCTGAATCCTACCTCCCAAGTGCTCCCAGAGTCTCAGCCCGCTCAGCAGCAACCAGCACCACTCCTGGGAAGCCCCCAGCGCGAAGCCTCTT